TTGCCCCTTGTCCTGTCGCTGGGCACCACTGGAAAGAGTCTGGCCCCATCCTCCTGACCCCCACCCTGCAGATATTTAGAGGCATTTCTAAGGTCCCCTCTCAGCCTTCTCTTCTCCAGATTGAACAAGCCCAGCTCCCTCAGCCTCTCCTCATAGGAGAGATGCTCCAGTCCCCTCCTCATCCTCGTAGCCCTCCGCTGGACTCTCTCCAGTAGCTCCTCATCTTTCTTGAACTGGGGAGCTGAGCACTGGACAGAGTACTCCAGATGGGGCCTCACCAGGGTTCTTTCCTTTCTTTAATGCAACAAAGGGAACTGTGTCTCGGCTGTCTGCTGCTGCCACGCGGTGCAGATTGGTAAATAAACGCGTGTATCCTTGGGGGGATGAGGGAGGGGGTAAGACAAACGTCTTGGCTGCTTCTGAGAGTGCAGAAGACAAGTTCAGAGTGCTAACTGACTGGCTTTTGAAGACAGGAGTGTGACTGGCGAATTCCTCCAGGCATGATCACCCCTTGCTTCAAATCGTACTTTTATGCCGTTCTTTTCTTTGTTTTTAATGAATCTGTTCCTTAGAAATTTTTCCTCTAGGAGGCAAACGCAGGCTGGAGAAGGTCGCTTGGGAAGGACAGGCAGAGCACTGCGTCCAGCTTAGTCACGGAGGGGTCAGTGTGGTGCTGTGCGATGGTGGAAGCGTGGGGTGTTCGTGTGCCACACCAAGGTGCTGGTTTGGTGGTGTTCTCTGAGTGGTGGAGCTGGCTGTGCTGGCTCTCACTCGGGAAATAACAGTAATTACGCTGTCTGGTTCAAGCATTTGGTGTGGAAAACATCCTGCTGCCTTGTTGCATCCAAATAAATGGAAGCTTGCATGATTCCCTTCCTTGTGTTCCCCCAGTGCCCCCTCCCCTCGTCGATCCCAGCGTTTGGGAAAGTGGAAGCTGATAATTTCTTGGCAGACAGCAGGCTGACGTGGTTTTGCTGGTGGAGGCAGCGTGTGGTGCAGTGTCTGTGGCTCGGAAGCTGGCGATAGGCGAGGTCGGGAAGGGAAGGAAGCCAGGCCGCGACCGGGAGGCTGGTGGGCTCGCAGGCGCCGCCGTTGTCCAGTAAATTACATTCCCATAAACTCTGAAAATAGGGAATCTGTGCGGTCTCACCGCTTGTGTGGAGACAGAGCGTCCAGGTGCGTCTGCGGTCACGGAGCGGCGTCGGTGGCTCTGCGTCCTGCGAGGTGGGTCCAGCGCCCAGCCCTGGCTCCGCGTCCCAGGGCTGAATGAGGGCCACAAGCTGGCCGTGGCCGTGGCTGGGGTTTGATCACGCTGTTCATTCTTCTGGTGATGAAGAAACCAAGCACCCCTAAAGGGGGCTGAGTGGGTGCAGGACGTCTGGCTGCCGGTGAAGCCGCCCGCTGCTGGTCGCTCCCTGTGAGCTGGGGCCCATTTGGCCATAAGCCATGGGAGGGAGCACAGCTGGGACCTTGACTCGTGGCTCTGGGAACGGTTGTTAACAGGGGGAAAAAACCTCAAAATTCAGCGGGTGTAGTAGTTTGGAAAGGTGTCCACCACGTGCTCACATCCGTGCAGGCGTGTCCTGAAGACCGTCGCATCCGTATCTGAGTGAGGTGGCTGGTGGCTCCGGGCGTTCGGAGGAACCGCCGAGGAGCAGGAATCCCACCGCTGCTGGCTGGAAAAAACACACCCGTGCCTCAAAAACGGTGTCACTGGCTCTCACGGGAGCATCCCCGGCGCCGCATGGACGCGGGGCTTGCTTGTGGCGCTTCGTGGCAGGGTCTCCAGGTCTGAGGGTCTTCTCCTGGTGGTCTCCACGGCTCCCGCCAGCGCTCCGGGTCACACGTGAAGGGGAGGCCGGACGCGCAGTGAACACTGGGAGCGAGTTCGTGTCTTACAAGCACTGTGAATATCGATTATGCAAGGTTTTGTATTCGTATGAAAAAACTGTTCCTGTTAATAATAGGTCTTTTTTGTTTGTCTGTCTTTGGGTTTAGGTCTCTTGTTACTTTTTGGGTTGGATTAGTTTGGTAACGTGTAAGCATTTATCCGCCGATGGCAGAAACTCGCTGCCGCTGTTTGTACATATTTGTAAAATACTCATGGTATAATCGCTCTGTTTTAATGGTAAAAGCTTCTCCTTTCCATGAAAGGAATTTCTTGTTGAAAATAAAATATAAAGAATTATATGTACACTTGCAATAAAGTATGGATAGAAAACACTAATTGCGTATCTTTCGTTTTTTTCCCCTTCCACGAGGCGCGTGTCGGTGACGTCTCCGTCCGAGCCAGGCCGGCTGCACAGCCCCGTTTGCTCGGGTGCAAAAAAAACGGCTGGCGCTGGCGACCCCCGAGGCTCCGCAGGCTTCTCCTCGCGCCGGCAGCCTCCAGGGAAGGTCCCGGTGGTCCTGGGACGCGGATCGGTGACGGAGCACCGTAGCGTGACTGTTCACGTCCCTTGGAGAAGCTTCCTGACCGGCGTGCCCTCATAAATAGTTTTTCTCCTTTTCTCTGAGATGTTACAGACACAGGAGCAAGCGTTCAAAATAAAGGTACAAATTTTTTTTGCGTATTTTACTATTGTAGCGTTGCCCCCGTTCTTATGACTTCCCCTCTTGTACTTCGTGTTCCACTGCCCGCTGGGCTTCCAGCACGTAACTTCTCAAGGACTGGAGAGACTCCTCCGGCTTCGGTTTGGGGGTGCTGGAAGGAGGCGGCTCGGTTACACACCCAGCTTTTTATGGCATTTATATTAAATAACAGGCAAATATTAAGTCGCCCAACTCTGGAAGGGTTTTGTCACTTCTCGTTGTTTCTTGGCTGGGCAACAACCTTCTCGCCTGCTCGGTGGAGTTGGGCTTCTCCAGCAGCTGCGGTGTGGGTTGGGTGGCGTGGTACGGGGGAGATCTTAGGGCAGTGGATGGGCGCTGAGGGGTGGGGAGTGCGGGGGTCAGCTCTGAAGGTGTGGGCTACAGCTGGTGGGGTGTTGTGCAGCACCCCAGGGAGGGCAGCTCCTCGGTGGAGTCCTCGGCAGTGAGGTCTGGGACACTGAGGGCTGAGTGCTTCTGAGCAAGGAGGAGCTGGAGAACAAGTCTGATGGGGAGCGGCTGAGGGAGCTGGGGCTGTGCAGTCTGGGGAAGAGGAGGCTGAGGGGGGGACCTTGTTGGATCATGCAATCACCAACAGTGGAAAAGACCTCTAAGGTCATCAAGTCCAAGCATCGCCCCAACCCCACCACGCCTGCTAAACCATGTCCCGAAGTGCCATGTCTACACGTGTTTTGAACCCCTCCAGGGATGGGGACTCCACCACTGCCCTGGGCAGCCTGGTCCAGTGCCTGACCACTCTCTCAGTGAAGACATTTTTCCTGATATCCAATCTGAACCTCCCCTGAC